TCAAACGTACTTCGATAAAAAATTAATCATTTCTAAATTTTAAAAGTGAGCTAGATTAATTCTGATCAGAGATTCGAACTTCGTGCGATGCTAAATTTCCTGTAAACAAAGATCGGCTTTTAGATTTTGTTGATATGTTTTAATTATCCGCAAGTTGGGTTTTCTCATATTGTGCTGATTGATGAATATTTCTGTGGCTCATGCACATATGATCAACAGGAAATTAATTTGCTGTAAGGAAATTTTTATAATATTGTTCCTTCCGAGAAACTGCTAGGGCCAATAAAAAATTCATTATGACGAGATTCGTTGTAATGGAATTTTGCTGTATTCGAATTGTAATCGGAATTGAGAGGTGGACCTTTTTTCCGCTCCCGAGATTGTTAAGAAATTGTTTTTATTGCTATTTGGATGACGTTATCGCTTCCTTGAAATGGTCGGAACAATTTTCAAATCCTCACATTTAGTGTCGGTGGCTCTTTTTCCATTTATCTCCTTTGAATAAAATGGAAGTGACGATGTCATCTTATTTGGCAGGTTGGTTCTCACAAGGTGCGTTTTGCACGAGGCACTGAAGCCTCGGCGCCTGCATTTGACAAGCACATGCGCCAAATGAAGCGCAACTACGGCCAGTTTGCAATAGTGAATTTGTTGGGCTCCTCCATGTTGGGCAGCAAGCAAGGAGAAGCCACTCTGTCGGAGATGTTCAAGAGCCACCACCGATCTAGTGGACACCACAAGGAGGCGCCACATTTGTTGTTTGACTACCACGCCGAGTGTCGGAGCGGGAATCTCAAAAACTTGTCCAAGTTGAAGGAACGATTGGCCAAGTGCTTGGCGTTGTATTCGTTTTTTTACGCGAAAGACGGGAGGATTTTGCTGGAGCAGAAGGGCGTTGTGAGGACGAACTGTTTGGACTGTTTGGATAGGACCAATTGCGTGCAGACCTTTTTGGCCATGGAGACGTTGCCCGGGCTGCTGCAGTGCTTGGGACTCGGGGAAAAGCCGCAAATTGCGTCGAGATTTCAAGAAGTGTTTGGGCAGATGTGGGTCACGATGGGGAACGAGATTAGCCGGATTTATGCCGGAACCGGGGCCATTCAGGGCGGAAACATGGTGAGGAGTCTGAGGGCTGACGGAATTTAGCAGAAATTGAAAATTGCGTTTGATGACATTTTGAAAAAAAATTTGCGAGGGTTAGATTTATCGGTGCTGCAAAAAGTCTGTCCACTTTTGAAAATTGGTGTGTGAAAAATCTGCCAGATCTACTGCGAGATTTTTTTTTTTTCTTGGAACGGTACGGAATTGCTTTGATTCTCATCTAAGCAATATTATTCCAAGTGTTTCCCATGAGAATTGAATTTGATCACCTTTTTAATATAGGTATAATGGTGTTATTTCATTGCAACGTGATGAAAAAAAAATGCTGCCCAAGAAAAGAGAAGACCTTTGAAAGTGAAATATTCTACCTGTGTTCGATTGACATCCTGACGGCATCGAATTTATTTCCATTCCATGTCCTGACTCCGCAATTGCATCACGCAGCTCGTTGATGGGGCGAGATCAGCCGCAAGAACTATTCAAAATAACCTCTTGGATTTTAGCAAGCAAGAAGCGATTGAGATTCTCATAGTCGGCAGTCATTTGGATCCTGATTTGAGAGAAAGGGCTCGTCTTCTGCTGCCAAAACCAGTTCTATATGGTAAGCATTTAAGAGAGCGAGTCCCATCTCATTACAATTGTTTGCGGTTAGCGCAAATTCTGTCCCTAGATGGCGTTTTCCTTTGAGCACTGCATCTTTCACGCGTAATACTGTAAGAATAGATCTGACTTTAATTTTTGAGTTTAATCAGAGAAATTCTGCGACGTGGAAGAGAGATTCAAAGTGCCATGGTAACCTTGGTATGCTAACCGGTGTCAGGCTGCAATTTTAAGAAAATTCTTAGCGACGGAACCCAGGCTTGCTTCAAGATTGTGATTCTAACAATATTTATCGTATTTTCTCGAATTCGAGAGGGAAAGACGGGGTATACATTTTTCACAAATTGGGGAACTTTTTTATGTGCGTTATATGTGTCACTAGGGACAAATTTTAGGCCAAGTTCATCTAGAAAACTTATCTCAATGGGAGCAATTATAAATTAGTCCAATTCTTGTTCAATCACTGTCTGAATTCAAATTTGGGTGTACTTATTTTTTTAGATATTATTATTTTATAATAGCTAAAAATGGGATGCGCATCTTCCTGGGGGTAGGATTTTTTTATCCAGTTGAAAAATTCAATTGAGGTCTGTGCAGGTACCGTAATTCGTAATAGCAACAGAAAATAAGTCAATGACGCAACATGAAAAGCACAATTTTTTCCCCGAATCAAGAAAGCCCAGTAGAATGTTTTCATTTTTGTGCAGCGATTCTCGTGTAGTCAAAGGAAGAACCCGGGTCTTGGTGTAAATACACGTAGCCTCATTCAAAAAGCATAAGTCATGCTGAAGCCAACCATGAGTTTACAAAATTCTTACTGCGCAGTTAATTTTTTGTGGATAGCATATGGCTTCATCAGAATTTTCTACCAGTTCTCATGCATCACCTTTTTTTTTTTTTTTACTTGAACTGTGGAATCACGATGGGTCCTGTAACGAAAATTAGTGGAATCCGATCCATGATGCATTTCGTTATGTGGAATTTTCTTAATGTGAAATGCGATTCTCGTTAGGGTTATATTTTAAATTAAACCAGAAACTCACCGAAAGCGCATAATAAACCTGAATAAATAAATGTGTTATTCTTAGTTTTCAGTGTAAATTCATCAATTAAAAATTGATCAATGTTCAAGTTAGGTGATCCTGACAAATTTGTCCTACTCTCTTTTTGAATTTAACGAATTTTACCTACGAGAAGAGGCAAAATATTTTAATTTTTGTGAGAAGTTCAGAAATTGTAGCCCAAAAATTTTCAAAATTCGAGTGTTCCCTTGCCAAGAAGTTCGTTACTTGAGTTACATCCCGCCGAAAAATTTGCGTTGTGCGAGTTCGTCTTTTTCCGGGACTCGCTGTTGAATAGAGGATGGATTAAATTGTTTGCTTTTTTCGTCTTGAGGTCAAACTTGAGTAAATGTATATAATTTATAGTTTTCAGTTTAAATTCGTGAATTTAAAATTTATCTATGGTTAAAGTTAGGTGATCTTGAGAAATTTTTCCTATTCTCTTTTTGAATTTAATGAATTTTGCCAACGAGCAGAGGCAAAATATATCGATTTTTTGAAAATGTCCATAGTTGTAGCCCAAAACTTGCAAAAATTCGAGGGGTTTCTTGCCAAAAATTTGAGTCAAGTTCCCCCGAAGAATATTTGTTGTCGGTGCCTTTCTTTTTCGGGCACCCGCTGTTCACGTAGAGGATATATTAAATTTTTAATTTTTTTCAATCTGAAGGTCAAACGGAATTGATTCAAGCCATGGTACGCCGGCAGTACGAGTGCAGCCGCCACGTGGACCTCCGCCTCGCCGTCGGCACATACAACGTGAACGGCGGCAAACACTTTCGCAGTATCGTCTACAAAGACCGCTCCCTGTCCGACTGGGTCGTGGACGCCCCGAAAAACGACCCTCGCTGCGGCGTCGACCTGTGTTCCGAATCCCCGCCCGACATCTACGTTCTCGGCTTTGAAGAAATCGTGGATCTGAACGCCTCCAACATCGTGGGGGCGAGTACTGAGAATGCCAAGGCCTGGGAGAAGGAGTTGTGCAAGACGATCGGACGAGATGAGGCGTACATTTTGCTCACGTCTGTTCAGTTGGTTGGCGTGTGTTTGTTTGTGTTTATTCGACCGCACTTGGCCGAGGTTGTGAAGGACGTTGCGACGGATTTGGTGAAGACGGGGTTGCGGGGGGCGACGGGGAACAAAGGCGGGGTCGCAGTCAGGCTGAGTGTGTACAACACGTCGTTCGCGTTCATTTGCGCGCATTTTGCTGCCGGCCAATCTCAGGTGAGCTGCTATATCCGAAGATTTTGCCTGAATAACCAAAAATCGTCCGAAAACAATCTTTCCTTTCCCCAACTCGGTTCTGATTATATTTAGAGTTTTCTTACCAGTTTTTTTTTTTTTTTTTGACGTAATTTTGAAAATGGAGTTCTGATCGTATCCTCCCGAACTCTATTACGGTTTCAATGGAGAAAGAAATAAACACAGTTTAAATTGCGCCTAATTACTGCAAGGATAGTTATCAACTGCTAGATTTTGATAATTGTTACGATTTTTCAAAGTCCAAGCACTGAGAAATATTTTGAGAAAATGTTGAACTGTCTTGGTGAAATGTTCCGAATTTCATCAAGATTTTTCAGAGTGTTCTAATTTTGAAAATGTAAAAAATAAAATTATAACTTCAGAGATGGGGAAAGGATATCAAAATTAAACTAACGTACATCGGAGCCGGATTGTTTAGTTCAAGTTTTTCTTAAAAAATATGCATATTTTTCTCTTAAAATTTCTGTCGAACGTGAGAATGTTACGCATCTTTTATCTAATTAGGTTGGGGACAGAAACGCAGATTATCAAGAAATCTCGCGGAAAATCCTGTTCCCCGGCGGAAGAACGCTCATGTCGCACGACTACGTTGTTTGGTGCGGGGATTTCAACTACCGCATCGATCTGCCCAGAGATCAGGTCAAAGACCTGGCCAAGAAACGAGACTATGCAGCCCTGGTCGAGGCGGACCAGTTGCGGAACCAAAAGGCCGAGGGCCACATATTCAACAAGTTTAGCGAAGGAGACATCGATTTTGCTCCGACTTACAAGTATGACCTGTTTTCGGATGACTACGATACTAGCGACAAGGCGAGAATCCCGGCATACACTGACCGCGTTTTGTGGAGACGGAGGCAAATGACTGAAGGTATGTTTGATTCATTGCGTGCGTGGAAGTTGCTGGTTTTCATTTGCGATTATTACTGTATTTTCATTCCATTTTGCAAGATTATTTTCACGTAAAAGCTGAGCATTGTTTCCTTGAACGATGGGCAGGTGTCGCCTGAAGCACCAAACTCATCAGAATTAATTCATCGGAAGTTGTGTATGGGTAGACTTTCTGTGAAGAGCATTTTGGTTTGTGGTCCCATAGGGTTCTCATCGATTAATTTTTTTTTCCCCTGAATATTTTGTCGAGATTCTATTTTATAATGCACTACGGTTCCACCTAACTCATAGGTCATTGACCTATAGAGGGCACCCTAGATAACGTGCCCCCGTACAACGTGCCGCCCCGCCCCCTGCGCTAGGCGGTCCGCCTCCCGCTCTTTCCTTGGGACGCACCCATTCTTTCCTTGGGTGACTTGCTGGCAGGCGGGTGCCTCGCTGGTTTTTCCTGGCATGAAAATATACATATGCATTAAAATATTTAAAGCATTAAAATATACCAAGGTTTAAAACTGACCTAACCTAACCTTACAACCTAAAAACCTAACCTAACCTAACAACCTAACCTGACCTAACAACCTGACCTAACAACCTGACCTAATTTAGGTTAGGTTTAACCTAACCTAATTTAGCCTAACCTAATTTAACCTAGCCTAATGTAACCTAACCTAACATATCCTAACCTAACCTAACCTAACCTAACCAACCTAAACTAACGTAACATATCCTAACCTAACCAACCTAAACTAACTTAACATAAACTGACCTAACCTAACATTGCTGAAATTTTGAAACAAAATCTGTGGTAAGATACCATTCTGCTCACTGGATTCTGAAAAACAATCAGCATGATTCTTGTCACCCAATTGTTAGGGTGCCCCAACAATCGGGTGACCAAACCACAGTTTGGTGGGCTGGGGATTGGCAAGGCCAAGAACTGCCCTGGCTGGCAGTTGGACCAACCGGCGTTTGATGACCAGCGGGTGCGCAACTGTGAATTGATTGACTGGCAGCTGACCGGACACAAATTTATTCATACCCAAGGCTTTAGTAATCCAACTTGCTTGTGATTCTGAGAGATTTTCTCCCCACTTGGTTTGCTTAATTCCATCTTCCCATGTAATGGCTGCCAAGGAATTCAGTCCTGAAGACAGTGTACTGCAAAAATCAGCAGAAGACGGATTCAATTATACTATGCCTCAAATTTTGAAGGCCTAAATGTAATAAAGTATCCCAAAATGAACACACACATGTCGTTCAAGTACTGTAAATCTAAGTCTCTGCTGGTACTTTAAATGCTCTCTGCAAAAACATCATACACGCTCTGTACCTTGATCTTTCACAGTAAGTTGTGATCTTCACAAAAAATCATCCTTACTCCAAACAAAAGAAAATGTTTCAAGTAAATAAAGTGTTTTACCTCAATGCTCCAGAGAACAAGCAGGACATGAAAAGCCCAGGCAATCCACTCAGGTCCCCCAGTTGATCCACAACAAAAAAGGGAATAATCTGGTCTTTGCTTTTGATGATTCCAGCTTTCAGAGGATCACAGTGCACATAATTGGCAAACAAGACCAGTCCTGCTATACATGCCATGAGCACAAGAATAATCACTCCAGGAACATTGAGCATCAGGGTTCTGAAAATACTCATATATCCGTCATCCAAAATATAATCAATTATCATTGTCTCACATTATGGCTTGGTTGAGTGTTTTGCAGGAGCTGTATCTTTGTACTGACGACTGATTGGCTCCATGGATCAGCATCCAGCCAATGCCTGTGTTCAAAAGTATCCACCACAATGAATGTCTCTCATAGACATCAAAGGAAAAGCTGTGGAACAATCACACAGTTGCTGAGCTTGACATGAAAATATTCTCTGTAAGTGAAGGAATCATTTATGATTGAACATAATTACTTGAAGAAATTTGCTCTGTCATTCTCTGAAGCTATTCTCCAGACTTCTCCAGCTCCTCCAACTTGGATTGTCCCATAAACTATAATGACCAAAAGTCCAAGAAACATGACCACCACCTGGAAAGCATCTGTCCACACAACAGCTCTTAGTCCACCCTAATAAAAAACAATGAAAATACATGACAAAAAAGTTAAGAAAGTCCTAAAAATAAAACAAATCTATCTATAATCCAGCAATCACCTTGAAGTATACTGAGCAACTACATGACAAAATGATCTGAAATCTGCAGTATTTCACACATTTTACATGTCTGTGCACACATTTTACATGTCTGTGCACACATTTTCATTTCTTGGAATCCACACCACTGTCTAATAAAATTATAAAGCCAACATTTAATATAGCCACACTTCAAGCAAGAAATAACTTGAAACTGATGCTGTTGACTGATTTCACACTGGCTCAGGTGCATTAGATAACTTTTAGTGAATCCTTATTGTATAAAATACAAGAAAATAATGCGTCAAACCGAAAACTAAAAAAAAATCTGAATATTAAAAAAAATATATATATATATATATATATATATAAACGCAGCATATTTTGTGTTATCTTGATCAACCTGATACATTTCACACAAATGATATTCAATATTCCTGTACCATTTTCCAGGCCAAACAAGGAATCACAGCGCAATGAAGCAAATATCAATACTGCCATTTACGGATTTATCAAACCTGGTTGTTTCAGCTGAAGAAAATTGAACACATTCTTCCATATGCCAATTTAAAATGTATGAAGAAAATTTGAATGGACTTACCACGGCTGTGTAGATAGTGCAAATGCCTCCAGCAGTCAAGATTGCGACCCATTCAGGCATGGAAGTCACAGAGGAAATGGCAATAACAGGTGCCCACAGGGCAACACCCATGTAGAGCAGGTTTTGTGCCAAAAACAGAAAACTTCCAAGTATCCTCACTGCTTTGCTCCTGAACCTCAACTCAAAATACTGCGTGAGGAAAAAAAATTATGAATCTTTATTAAAGCAAAAATTGACAAGAATAATGTGGACATTTCAAAAATGCCCACCTCGTTGACGCTAGTGAGTTTCAGCTTGTAGAAAATTGGCACAAACACCACGGTTGCCAATGGGATGCCAATTAGAAAGCCAAGGATTGATGTTGTCCATTCTGAACCATTGGCATAAATCTCTGCTGGAGTACCTGTTTGTATTCAAGCATTCAAGCAGTGGCTCTGTAATTATTACTTCTTTGCTCAGCAATTGTAATAGGATCATTTAAATAACTGCATTTCCCTTATACAGGTGGTATAGTTGAACCTCTCCATGTCAAATTTTTAGGGACAAGGAAGAAAATTGGACATAGGGAGGTTTTGATATTATGAGGTTTTGAGTTAGTGAAATGATTGATTTTGTTGCTATGAAAAGTTAAAAAAAATGCAGGAAATTTTAAATGAGGATATCCTGGGCCTAAACTTACTTCTAAATCAGTTTACATTTTGCTGAACTTGGATGCAGGGGTTCATTTGCTTAATTAGTCTTTCACTTCCTTTCAAGATGCATAAAATACAATTTTTCAGTGATTTTTTCTTCCATGTTTCAAGGAAATCATAATCAAAAGTCCTCAGAAAATTTGACTTACAGAGGTTTGAGAGGAAAATACTTCAATTTAGTGAGGTTTTAAATGCATTGTTTCTAAGAGAATCAGATGGGGACTAGAAAACAATTTGAGTTAGAGAAGGTTTGACTTACAGAGGTTCAACTGTAACTTGTAATTTGACCCTTAGCTTATCTGTTGCCAAATTATTGTCAAATTGCAAAGCAGTTGAATTGTGAGAAACTTTGTGATAATTCAAAAATATAAGTAAAAAATGCAAAAAAGTGGCCAAAGCAGCTCAAAATGTGTGGAAAGGGTTTAATTGCAATTCAACCTCCCAGAAAATTTGACTGTCAAATTTTGGGAGGTAAAATTGCAAGGTGCCACCTTTAATGGGGTACAGCTTATTTGAAATCCACAACTGAATCAAATAAAAAATTAAAAATTACCTGATTGTAAACTATATACATATACTCATGCATAATAAGTGAGTTCTTTAGAAATTGATCTTTCCTGAGGATCAATAAAATTAATTCCAACCTTGATGGGAATAATTGCAAACTACTAAAAAAGAATGAACTATTCTGCTGTCCATTCCACTTACTCTCGCAAAAACCATCTGTTCAAAAAACCCTAATCCTTAAATTTTGCAAACACATGCATATATCATTTGTATATCATCTTTGCTTTTTGATGAACCGTCAGGCAACTGATTGATCAAAAAGAAAGATATTGAGAATGCATGTGTTTACAAAATTCATAGGTTAAAGGTTTTTTGAACAGGCGGTTTTAGTAAGAATTAGTGGAATGGACAGCACAATAGTTCTTTCAATAGTTCATCCTAGACTTTTATTGTTGCATAATTCAAAGATCAAAATAAGCTTGAAAGCCAATATCCTATACTTGAGAGATTTCACTGCAGAACAAGTCCACTTCCAAATTTCACAATGACTCCATATCCTTAACAGAATTACCATGATGCATCAAAAATACAACTCATGGAGGTCTTAGAGTAAAAGCCTTTGAGTTACAGAGGTTTTTAATGCATTGTTTCTAAAGGAATTCAGACATGGACTTGCAACTTTTTTTTTTTACTTATAGCAGGTATCGACTCAGTCCAGAGGTTTGACTTTACTTGACTTAATGACAAGGTGAAAGTGAACCTCACCTAGGATCAATATTGCAGACAGGTAAGTGGCCATGAGAGACAAAGTGATGGGCACCAAATGCATCCCCGAGGAAATGACCAGCATGTCCTTTTGCGAGTCATGGCGGTACTTGACTGCTTGCCAAATCCCGATTGCCAACGCAGCAACCAGCGACCCGAAAAACACTGCATAATCCGCCACTGACAAATGCTTCATTGCCGTCATTTTTCAGCTTGTTAAAAATCTTATGTCTTCAATTTAATGTATATTTTTTCCCGTTATTTCCACAGCTTCACTGTATTCTGTGATACTGTAAATATACAGGGTGGACAAAAGAAAAAGGAGCATATTTTTGAGTAGAAACATACAAATCTTTTTTATTTTTTGCTGAAAAGTATGCCATCGCTGCTGAACCTCAATAAAAAATTTCCGGTTTAAAAAAATTTGTCACTTTTTGGATGAAGAGGGTTGGTTATTGCTGGATGCTCCGTGCGACTTGATCTGCTTCTCGTAAATACCCTGCAGTAATACAGATGAGCCTTTTAAAAGCTAAAATAGTAATTTCAGAATAAAATGATAAGCTGCAAAGAAAAAATCACTGATCAATTTTTGCTATATTTGTATTTTAAAAATTGGTGATTTTTACATTCAATCAGTTTACTCACCAACTCTGGTGACCAAAGTTTCAGTGGAAGCAGCTGTGGGATACATAGTCTCACTGCTCTTGGATCCAGCCATTCCTGCACTTTTCAACTCAAAATTGTAGGATGAAGCAGAAGTGTGAGAGATCTTGGATATTCCTGATTTGGCTTTCAGCCATTTGAAGAAGTCGATGGACCAGGAATGAACTAGTGATGAGTCAATTTGATCTTCAGGGTAGCCACCAGTCGCCAAGCTTGTGATTATGGTCACGATCAACCCAAATAATAGCCCAGTGCACATGAACAGAAGGTATGATATCCTGAAGATTTTCCTGAAGCTCAATCTGCAAGTGGTGAAAGAAAAAGAGTATTATGTTACAGAGTGCCATTGCCTATGATGGGGATAATAAGTAGCTTGAAAGCATTCTCAAACTCAAAAAATGCCTCAATGATGCTCTGATTGGCAAAATAGTTTATTCCAATGGGAATACAACATATTCTGTATTCATGAAAAAAATTTAAGTGGAAAAATAAAAAATAAACATAAATAAAAATATAATTTCCCCTCATTCAGACTAAAACCAAAGGCTAGCATAACTCATGTATTTGAATTTACTAATCTGTGAGCAACAATAGTCATTAAATGTCCTCAACCAGTATTCCCAAACCTTTTTGGGCCAATGGACCAGCAAATGTCCATAAAATTATTTGCGGACAGGCTCATTTCCACAATATTTCCTGCAGGATGTCAACATTTTGTAAACTTTTTGCAGACTTAAAAAGGCTTTGTTTAAAATACTTAATCGCGGGTATTTAAGAAGTTTTGGCACAAAGAACCAATGAATCAGCAATGGAATGTTCTCAAAAATAGAAATATGGGTTTGAAGAAAGGTTTCTCAGAGTGAAAAATTAAAATAGAGGATTACAACAGGTGAAAATTTGTCAGGAGGATTATTAAGAGGAAAGCCAACTTTTAGTCTTCATCTGATAATTTCATCTGCAATTATGTTTTTCCAAAATTTCAGATGACAATAACAGACTTCTTTGATTCCTTTGATAAATGTATTATGCTTAAGAAAATCTCCGCTTCAAAAAGCAAACATAACTGGAGACCATTGCCTATCATCAGACCACATAATGAATTGGGGAATACTGTCCTATAAACATTGAAACTGACTCACACAGGAAAAAAACCCTAAAATCGAATAAACTGTAATGGTTATTTGGTCACACTGCTGAGAGATCATCTGTGTATTACAGTGATGATCTGCACTTAACCTCTGATAAAATCAAGCTTTTCTTCTTAATTTATTAACAATCTGTTGATTTGGACTCTGCATGAATAAAATTTTAAAAAGGTAGAAATGAATTGGATTACTCATTCCAGTCCTCAGCAGGAGCAGAAACACTTGAATTGCTGAAGGCTATTTCACTGACATCCCAGTCAGGAGGACAGATTTCAACAAATGATTTCAGAGGAACAGGTCCTGGGACACCATCAATGTAGCTTCCAAAGCCAAGGAATCCTGACACAAATAGAGATACTGCTGAGCCAGCAAAAACCCCTGGAACATTAACAAATGGCAGCAGGACTGAAGCAAGAAAGAGAGTCAGGGCTGGGGCTGCCAACACTGAAGTGACTGTGATGCAAACTTGCAGGACTCCACCAAACTTTCCAGCAATGAAAGAGAGACCAATGGATATCAATCCATAGACAACACCTATGGAAACAAAATCCATGAAAGTATTCAAATTAGTACTGAGCAAATTTATTCAAATACCCAAGGCTTTAGTAATCCAACTTGCTTGTGATTCTGAGAGATTTTCTCCCCACTTGGTTTGCTTAATTCCATCTTCCCAGGTAATGGCTGCCAAGGAATTCAGTCCTGAAGACAGTGTACTGCAAAAATCAGCAGAAGATGGATTCAATTATACTGTACTAAACCTCAAATTTTGAAGACCTATGTCAGGTGGAAGTGACAAAGACCTTATAGAAATAAGTATAAACCGTACACAGCCTTTAGGAGGCCGGATCCTCCAGAAGGGAGTCCCTTACGCACTCGTTTATT